GGAGATACCATAACTGTTTAGCACACGTTTGGTCAAAGGATCGTCTTCACTTGTCTCTTTGACGAGTTGTCGTGTGGTGCTATGAATGGCAAAACTCACTGACAATGCCGGCGAAACGTCTGGGAATGTACCACGTCCACGGTCCGACTCTGGAAATGATGATGTATACAATGGACTCCGGACTATGTGACTTCCTCTAAGTCTTCCTACCAACATGACAAAGTTGCGAAAACAAGGTCAAACAACTTCTATACTTAACTTTTGTTTATCAGTAGTCTTTCGAGAGTAACAGTAGATCATATGTATGAGATGTATTCACCCTTTTCTGTTTAGAGTGATAAGGTGAATGGTAGTTGAATATTTTCCCTCAATGAAATGAGTAAACATGACGTTTCCATTTTCCATTTCACATGGGCTTACCTCACATGTACACGCTTGCAGATGTGCCGCCCTCGAGAGAGGATAAGACTGCAACTGTAGCGATTGGTTGTCGGGCTGTATAATTGCCATGGTAGCGCGATGGCAACCGAAAGGTAGGCTATGTCTTGTGACCGTGCCTATCGTCGGCTCGAGTAAACATGGCTTTTATTTTTCCCATTGGACAGTTTCCGTCGACGACCCCTACCTCCAGATCCCCACTTTTGAGCTCGCCGTGATTGTGCTCCTAGGCCGCGGCACATACGCCTGTAAACACACCGTTCAGGGGCCCACTTTATGTCCCTCCAAATCCCATTTGTCGGCTACCCTCAGCCCGACCATCTTCTGCTAAAGTTCAGCCTCAACGGGGGTCGACTGGAGAGGATGACTTTTCCGCCTGACTTGGCCCAATTTGACCGCAGTTTTATAGGTTGACCGAAAACCTCCGCGTCATCAACTCTCGCCCTGCCCCAGTCCCAGTCTTTCCTACTTTCATACGTTGGGCTCCATCGCGGCAGCCGAATCGAGAGGCCAGCGACAGGCCTGGCGAAAATGAACCCAAGCACAGTCGTGATGGCTAATTTGGGAAACTGCCAGGCCTCGGTCTTAGAGACCATGTCGGCTTCATTCGTAAAGTGTATGTGAATGGATATACAGGCTGGATGCATGGATGAGGCGAGGAGGGTGGGGGGAATGGGGTCAAGCGGTGATATTTGGAGAAACTGTGCCTGTGTACATGCATAGGTACGTAAAAATTGCACTTTTCAGACAAATGCAAGTTTTCCATTCAGGTGCATTCGCTATTCTGTGGCATTCGGTCGGCCGTCTGGCCCTCAAGGGTCCTACACTTGGGTGGGGGATAGAAATGACCGGAAAAAGGTCACTGCCTCTATTAATAGCTATAAATCAGGACTTAAAGGCCCGTCGGCCAGACTTACACCTTCCATGAATGAATTACTGGATTGTGCGAGGAGACAGAAGAATTGAAGTAATTTAGATCATTTTCAAATAGGGTGACAGATTGGAGCCATCAGATTTGTTTTGCAACCGACATGCTCGACGTGGTGGGGAATTTCATTATGTGCGAAAGTTTGTGATTAAGAGCTTCGAATGGTGATCGCACCAGAAGAGGTTGAAGAATTGAAGTAATTTAAATCATTTTCAAATAGGGTTCCAGTCTGGAGCCGTCCGATTTGTTTTGCAACCGACATCCTCGACGATGTGTTGACTTTCATTATGTGTGAAAGTTTGTGATTAAGAGCTTCAAATGCTGACTGCACCAGAAAAGGGTTGACTCATGTTGTCCTGCGGTCTTTTGATTTTTCTATGATGTAACAATGGCTTCAAAAGACAATCAAGTCAAGCGGATACATCGACTTTGCCTCACATGCTATGTATACTCATAACTAAAAAGAACTAAAAATATATACGTATATATTGATAGATACAAAATGTTTTGTTAGTCTATTTAATGTTTAAATGCATGTGCACCAAACCACCAATCACAACTCTGGGTAGCTGCAACAGGGCTCAGTGTAATTCCAAGGGATCCAAGACCTAATGACTGCGGATTCCTCTTGATCAGTTGTCGATTGGGTTTACTAAAACATTCTTATTTACGCTGCTTTCAAAGCAAATTCCTTCGATTTCTGTGAAAATGTGCTCGGTTTGGTCCATCGCATGACGGACATCATCAGAGCGGGGATGGTATCATCTTTACACCCATAATCAAGCCAACGAGTCAAGAAAACTCATCATCTCATCTCTAAATGCAGTATATATGCTCTATATCTAGGCTCCTTGATAGGGTATAAAGTGATTTGATGGTTCAAGTCATATATCAACATTGAAGTATGTGAAAGTGCCTCTTATTGTCTGTGTATGTGCCTGCATGTGCTCGTATATGTAAGACAACTGCAGTGATGGCTCAAAGTAATTAGAACAGAAAAAGTAACGTCTATTCTCGGACATCAAAGCTTGACGACCACAACACCCCATCTCTCACATTTTAACCATCAATCAGAATATGCAAAGTCGGACACACGTCTGGTTATGCTAATGAGATTGTTGCCTTCATGTGAAAGAGAAAGGGTGGACTTATAAGTACAAGAAAGTGATTGCGATTAAAACAAAGAACAGAAATACTATGTTGAGTCGCTTCATTTTTGCAGGTTGCTCGGCAATCCTTATCATAGAGTCTACTAATTAAGCATAAATCGTCTTCACTTAACTTCTTTCCTGCATTCCTCACACTCAATGTATTGCCTATTCGGTTGACTCTGATGGCCTCTAATTGCACCCTTAGCCGCAAGCATACCACAATCAGCAAAACGAGAACTTTGAGAACATCCAACCTCGTGTCCAGTTTCTGCCTTGTGCTCAGCTGGCTCTTATTTTTGAACCCAAAAGCCTCCACAAGCGCTTTTGTGCTCTACCACTCTTTGTCGGATGGGACGACAACGTAAAAGTGACCATATGAACACATTGTGTCATAGCAACGCGATCTGGATAATGAGACAACTTTCTCTCTATAAGTGGGTATAACTGAATAAAGTGAAATAGTTTCTATGAAACTCGTATATGTTCTCGACTTCCTCACTAGTATGCCTAGCTTTTTAGAGAAAATACAGCAAGGCAGAGACAAAACATGGGGAAAGGTCTCCTTATCTCTTCTTCGGTATTCTCATTTAGTGTAATGTTATTTTCGACGAACAAGATCGTGTGGTATTCTTTACTTTTATAGCATTTTCACATCTTGGTCGGAGTGTTGAACGTAGCTGGTCCTACGTCCTCTGCCATACCATTAATGAGTTCCAGCATCGAATCACTTACTCGGTATCTTCACATACGTTTTTCCGGCAGCATAGTCGGCATAGTCAGTGAGAGGCGCCGTAGTTAGCCCCGACTGACAGCTTATCAAAGTGACAATTAAAGGGAATAATGGGGGAGACGAGTGACTCCACAACGGTTGAACAGACAATAGGTCAGTGTGATTATTTACTTCACTTGTCACGTTGACAAATTGTAACTCTGCTCTAACGATGGCGTCGTCTGGGTACATATCAAGTGAATGGTGTGATGCTGGAACTCACAAATGCTATGGCATAGGACGCAGGACTAGGTACATCCCACAAGGTCTCCATGGGGCTCCAACCGACACATGCCATTTGACTTCAGTGTCACAATGATCTCTATCGGTGCATCTTATGCTCCGCATAATCGTGGATTTTAGAACGCAAAAACTTTGTTTTGAAACAGTGGATGGAGATGAAATTAAGGACGAAAGCTCAGCCAAATCTACAATCACAGCTCCAAGGCAATCTCCCTACAGCTTCCGGTGAGATCAACTTACGAATCCCTTCCACCCGCCTCTTCAAACGAAACGAAAGTACTCCAACGTCAATCTATTAAGGGATTCTTCGAAACCCAGTTTTTCCTCATACCCACGGCATTCGTTTAATTGTTTTTATCATATATTATAGGCAAAATGGTCAAATCGCCCCTCCCCCCTTATTCTCATTGCCTCAGTTAGGGGTTATAACAATAATGGATTCACACAATTGAAGCCGAGAGTGACACGTGTGTGTGTGTGTGTGTGTGTGTATTCATATTGAAAGCAACGTAAACGGACGAAGCTTACTCATCTCCAGGTCTGCACCAATGTGAACCATTGTATCCATTGTGAACCAGCTGGAAGTGTTGTGGACGGGACGTGGTGAAATGATGAAATTGTCCCCTGTATGATGTAAGGAGGAGCAACAAATGAATGAAATATATACTAAGTTAAACATGGGCTTTTTTAATGGCACAATAAACAGTTACAAAGTAATGTTATTTCTCATGGCGTTAGGCTAAAAATTATGATTTATCATAGCCTCGAAAACCTACTCAATACCATCTCTGAGGTGATTAGACTATCTTTCAACTTGCTTCAAAAATCAAGTCAAGAGGTTAAACGATCTGGGCCAGATCCCTCTTCTGACTATGCCGAAGAGAAAGATAACAAGAAGGCAGAATACGCAGCATGAGTGTTTGTGTGTGTGTGTGTGCGCGTGTGCGCGTGTGTGAGTGGTACAAAGCATTCTCCTACTTCCGCAATCATTGGATGAGACAGAGGGTGAAAGATAGGTGTGAAAATTATGGTAAAGCGATATGTGACGAATAATCACATTACATCGCCTCTTTTCGGACTATTCGTGGATAAAGTTCCAGAAAGAGTGGATGCAGACGAAGTAAAAACCACAGGCATATACGCATATACTTT